AGGTACCATTTCTTTTTGCTTCTGGTGAAATCTTAAAAAATGCAATATGCTTGTCTCTAATCTCAGATGAGAATCGTTCAGGAACGCTTAGAAGCAGCAAATGCTTTAAAGAAGCAAATGTGGGCAGAAGCACAACTTGATAAACGTCGTATGAAGGAAGAGTTTGTCATGAGGACACAATATTCATCTTTTACAGGGAACAAGATGGAATTGAACCTTACAATTTCTGCATCAGAGGGTAGACAAAGCCCTATGGTAAATGTTGATGACAGAAGTAATGGGATGTCTGTGAATGCTTCTTTTCAGCAAGACAGATCAAGTGACCAGCAGAGTGACATGAATTATCTGACTAACATGTCTTCTGAAGGAAACATGCAAATGCAAGATTTATCTGCTGATACTGATAATCTGCCATATCAACAAGCTGGACATGCAAGTGAAAAGTCACGTTCACAGTTAAAATCTGTTATTGGTCACAGGGCAGAAGAGATGTATGTATATAGATCTTTGCCCCTGGGTCAGGATCGCAGGCGTAATCGGTACTGGCAGTTCACTACATCTGCTTCCCGCAATGATCCTGGCTGTGGCAGGATCTTTGTTGAGTTACACGATGGTCGCTGGAGGGTTATTGATTCTGAAGAGGTAGAAATTTCATCCTCATGGGCTTCACAAGTCTCTATGTATGAGTCTTACGATACTGGATTACTTTGTGCACATGTATACATGATGTTGTTTTGATCATTCATGTGCAGTATGCATGATTTATACTGAAGATTGTGTATGAGCGATGTTTTGCTCTATGTTTGTTAAAATTGGTGTTGATAAAGAGAGTAAATGAAGGCTGCCGCCACATATAGAATTGTGTTCTGCTGAGCTAATAAAATTTATAAGTTCCCTGTTCAAGTTATTGTAAACTTTTGTTTACCATGAACCAATGGCTAGTCATCTTTATGTATTTTTTAAACTGACCACAAACCCATTTTTTGTTATTCTATTGTTTCTTTTCATCATTTGCATGGTATTTATGCAGGGTTTTAATGCTCTGTTGTCATCTTTGGATATACGTGGGGTTAGGGAATCCCATTTGCATGCAATGCTGCACAAGATTGAGGTGCCTTTCAAGGAAACTCTCAGGAAGAGAATGCTACATGCTAGCACTGAAGGGAAAAGTAAAGGCCCAATCAAAGCTGAAGCTGTTGAAACAGCTGCTGGCATTGAATGTGGCTCTGGTATGGATAGTCCACAAAGCACTGTCTGTATTCCAGATTCTGATATGTCTGAGACCTCAACATCTTTCACAATTGAGCTTGGAAGGAATGAAATTGAAAAAAATCATGCCTTGAAGAGATTTCAAGATTTTGAGAAGTGGATGTGGAACGAATGCTTCAAGTCTTCTGGATTGTGTGCCATGAAGTACGGGAAGAAAAGATGCACACAACGGCTTGGTGTTTGTGATTACTGTTGTGACACTTATTTATCTGAAGACAACCATTGCCCTTCTTGCCACAAGACATATGATGCATCTCAGGTTGGCTTGAATTTCTCTGAGCACGTGGTTCATTGTGAAAGGAAGCTAAAGGTGGACCCTGACAGTGCTTTGTGTAGCTCATCTTTTCCGCTGAGGATCAGATTGCTTAAATTGCTACTAGCTTTGATTGAGGCAAGTACTTAAATGTTTTTTTTTATTTAGATATATGCTTTTTGCCCCCATCACTATAATGAATAACAGCATGGCAAGCATGTTGCCACTCATTGTGTTTTCTTAAATTTTGTGTGCTTTTGGTTGGCAGGTTTCAGTCCTGCCAGAAGCTCTCCAGCCTGTTTGGACCAATGACTACCGGAAATCTTGGGGTATGAAGCTGCAGTCCTCATCGTCTGTTGAAGACCTACTTCAGGTTTATGTTTGGCCTTGCTTGTGACATGAATTTCTGTGCTCTCCTATCTAATTGGATTATGAAGATGTGAGCCTGGGATATTGGAACCACTGCCTAGCATTTGAGATTATATTAAAATCCAATGATGACGATTATGTTTTCATGTTGAAACCAAAACGCAATAGTGAACTTCATTTTTTTCTTACTGAAAATACCATTGGGTGTCAAAAGATGACACATTTAAAAGCAACGAAAGTGGCATTCCATAAGAAACATCCGCAGAAAGAATAAATGCCTGGTTATAACAATATGCTTTTTGTTTCAGTTTGAGAATACCATTGATGGATTGATTATATAGCAATCTCACCACATCTTATTGAGTACATGATTGGTTCCATGGAATGCACCATGAAAGTGAACCACATTATTTTATAGGTGCAAGATTTTGAATTGGTTCCAGAATATTATTGATAGATCAATTAAACAGCCGTGCATAACTCGATCCTGGAATGCATAATGAATAGTGAAAAGTAAACAACATTGCTATCACAGGGGCAAGAGTTTGAAATTTATTCTGTGCATCTTCTGGAATATATATTTTTTATGAATTTGTTGGATAGGCTCTTTATTTAGCATCAAAATGAAGGTGACATGTTGAGTGGAAGTTAACTGAAGCCACTGTGTTTGTTGCATTTAGAGTATTCCTAATCTACATCCGTTAAGCATGTAATGCCAGAACATAACATGTACTTGGTAATGTTGTGTAACTTGTACCATTTTTGTCATTGTCTGACAATGTTATGCTGGGTATTGCGTTCCTCCCTTTTCCTTGTTTGCTTATTGTCTATCCTTTTCAATTCTCCTCATTGAAATTAATTTGGAGGGTTTGTTAAGAAGTAAATGTGCATTTCTCTTCCTCAGATTCTGACACTATTGGAGGGTGGCATGAAGAGGGACTATTTGTCCTCGAACTATGAAACCAGCAGTGAACTTTTGAGATCATCTGACCCATCTGCATGCGCTGCTTATGGATCTTTCAATACAGAAACAGTTCCTGTGCTTCCATGGTTGCCACAAACAACAGCTGCTGTAGCTCTAAGGATCATTGAATTTGATGCTTCAATCTCATACATGCTGCATCAAAAACTGGAGGCTCATAAGGACAGGAGCACTAGGAGCTTCATTGTGAGTAGTCTTTGTATCAGAAGTTTTGTCCTGGATGATGTGAGATAAACAAAAACCACTGGTATGTGTTGTTAGTTCGAGAAAAAGAAAAAGAAAAGACCAAATGCCTTTTTCAACACTAGGCTGATGTCATGAAGTCCTGCTTCCCTTAACATGTCTCTATGTCATTAAATGTGCATTTTGAAGTAGTAGAAACCAGAGGTAAGTAATGATAATACTATAACTGAGGGATATAGGTCTGCAGTGCTTAATGTTTCTTGAAACAATGTAGTTATAAATTTAAATGTAGAATAAGGTATAAATTTGATGGCAGAGCAGAGCTATCATTAATCATCCCATGTTGTAAAACACATAGAACGGTGGTAATTATACGGTTTCATTTTGTCAAAGAAGCATTCTAATGCAAGCAACTTTCACTCCTAAAACAAAAATCTCGTTTCAAAATTGAAAGTTTACTAGCTCTATATTACTGACTTTATTCTTAACCATTTCTTAGAAGCTTCCATCCAAGTGTGCTGCCATGAAGAACACCCCAGATCATGAAATCACTGAAAGTTCACGTAAAGCTGGGTTATTTCAGGAAGATAATTGGGTTGATGTAGGGATTGGGTTAGCAGGACCGGGCCGCGAACAAGGAATCCGGGGCCGGGGTCGAGGTCGCACTCGTGGTGGGAGATCACAAACAAGAATTATTGGGTCCAGATCTGTATCTAGCAAGAGAAGTGTGGCCAAGAGCAGTGATAGATTAGGGAAGGCATTGTCATGGAAAGGACGACCTCGTGGCCGTGGAGGGTGTAAGCGTGGACGTCGCAGTGTGAGAAGTAGGCAAAAAACAGTCAAGCAAGCCGCAGATTTTATTCCTGAGAGAAAGATCCCTCAAGAAACTATTTGTGAACAGTCAACAAATTGCTTGGGAAGGGATGACTGGAATGGTGATGAAACAAGGTTCCTGGAGGATGCTGAAAATGTTAGTAGTTCTGAAAGATCTGAGTTTGATGTTGAAAATGAAAATATTCTGGCATCAGGAGATGAATATGATGATATGGGAGTTGATGACTATGCTGGTGGTTTTAATGGCAAGTCTGATGACTTACTGGAGGGAAGTGATTATATTATGGATGGCAATGAAGATGATGATGATGCCGTAAATGAAGATGAAGATGAGCTAGGGGATTTGGATGTTGAGGAATACATTAACGGGGACCCAGATGATGGTACCGAATCTTCATCTTCAGATTTCATTGACTAGAGAAATAACCTTACGATTGTAGAATATTGCTGATGCATGAGAAATAGTCAATTCCTTAATTTGTATTCTTTAGTGAAATCTACTGACTACTCTGTAACTGAAGTGAATTTATTTATAGAGGAAGCAGCAACTGTGCATAGCTAAGCACCTTTACTGTATTGGAAACAGAATATCAATGGATAGTACTTCGGTCCATTGGCAATTGCAATGATCCAAAAGCTCCAATTTTTTAGCTGTCCCTCTTTCTCGGCAACTGGACTCACTTGTTAGTAGATTGGTGCTTCCGATATTGTGATTTCGTTGGAATTGTTATGTTTTGGGTTGGAAATCTGGGAATCTTGCTTGGTTTAGCATTCATATCCAATCATGCTATATTGTCAGCTTAACATATGCCCGTAGATAGAAATAATTCTCGTCACCTGCCTTGAAAGATTAGGGACGTGGCCGACAAATTCCGAGGAAACCAACAACTGGCATTTTACAGATACTAAAGATGTCATATACGGAGAAATCATTACTATTTCAGAAGTCTGGAAGCAAAACTTCCTCTAAGTTTAGACCTTTTGCTATCAAAGAATGGTAGTGTACAACACCAATCCAAGGAAACCAATTGTTATTAAAATCGCAATTAAGAAGTTAACCAAGTCCTACATTTAACATATATCTCAGAAAGAAAGATAAGATGGCATATATTTACAACTGAAAACTATCATGTATTATTACTCTACATCATAAATTGCAACTCACATGCCGTTTAAAGAATAACACTGTATGGCTTAGATGTTGAAATCAGAAAAAAGTAAAAATAAAATTGGGAGCCTCAATCATATAGATCTACCAGTCTCTCCTGTGTATTGAGAGCGAGCCTTGACGCAGTGCGAGGGGAGCTCATTTTTTACGAGCAGGCCACTGGCTTTGAGTGATGGAAACAGTCACTTCGCGCAAGTGCAACAGACTGCATACGTAGTCGATCCTTCTCTGCCCCTAGCCTAGCCGGGAGCCTTGTACACTGGGGATGCCCTTTTAACCTCTCATGCTCTTCTTAGAAGGTTAGAGTACAGACCATTCCATGACAAGCTTTGTATACTCCAAACCTTCATCTTCTGCATTCCTATCAACTAACCATATCCTTTTCTTGAAGTAATCCACTCCCGTTCATCATCTTTGCAAAAAGTTCATTACATTGAATGCTCAGGGAACTAGAAAAGAAAATAAGGATTCACCACAAAAAAACTGGAGCAAATTTTTATTAGTGTAATAAAGAAGTTCAGTACACCCTATCATTTAACACCCTCGACATCGACCGCTTCTGTCTCAAAGAGAAGGCATCCTGCACTCCAAAACAGAATAAGCTGCCTCCACAATGCCTTTCCAGGAAACTTTTGCGAGCATTTTGCATAATTCGGGGAGCTTTTGGCAAAAATTTCACTGTGTTCTGCTAAAAAACTCAATTGTATTATGCAATTCAGTAAATTGGTCACCAGATTCCATAATATATTCATCATCACACTTGGTGCCTCGTATAATCACTTTCTGCAACAATATCACCGAATTTGGTAACAAAATTACTGAATTACATAATGCATCGAGTGTTTTGTAGAACTCAGTGGAAGTTTTACTGAAAAATAAAAGCACTGAATTATGTGAAAAGAGAAAGCATGATGTGCTCCCATAAAGGGTAAGGCATTGTAGAATTTTCCAAAACTGAAACTATCAAGGCAGATACCATAAACAACATTCACAAAAAGTGCATCGCATTCTGGTTGGTAATTTCCTAAAATGCATATTCACAAAAAGTGCCCCATTTCTGTGGAGGTGCATCACATTCTAATATTGATCTCAAGGTCCCATGAGAGTTTTGATTCCTGCCTTCTGCTCTGCAGTTAGCCTTGTTGGAAACTTGACGCTAAACTTGATTCTCAAATTTCCTCTCTTTGTGGGGTCTTTTGGGATTGGCATCCCTTCCTTCGGAACAACCTCCTCATAGTTTGGATGAATCACGGTGTTGATAGGAACGGTCAAGTTCCTTCCATCTAAGGTTGTGAGATTGATAGTGTAACCTGTCAATGCTTCAGCTAAGGAAATCTTCTGTGTGAGGATCAAGTCATTTCCATCACGACTGAATATGGGGTGGGGTTTTTCATCAATAATGAAGACTACATCTGCTGGTATAACATTTGGCATTTCATTCCCTTTCTCAGGGAAGGTGATCTTTGTGCCTTTCTTCCAACCTGGTTTTATGTCAATGGTTAGAATCTCCTCCACTTGCTCAGGCTTGCTACAAAAGAAGAGAAGCACAAGTTCAGTGAAATGATCTAGCAACTAGAGTTCTGCACAAAAACATCATTGAAAAAGCTTTTAGTGTGTGTTTGGTAATGCAGTGCATGGTGCTTTTTAATTGAAAATGCATCAAAATGATTTTTTTTTTCATTTTTCATTTTTCATTTTTGGCATTGGCATATCAAAACCATAAAAAAACATTAAATTGAATTTTTTTAAGTGCTTTTTCATGCAAAAAGTAGTTTGAAAAGCATGTCAAGCCTCAAAAGCAAACACTCAGTAAGGTTTTTACTAAATAGTAAAATGATCTGCCAATTAGTCCAATAGATCTCTGACAACAGAAAAAAGCAATCTAAAGCAGAAAGCAGCATGTCATATCTTATAAATAACATGCATTTTATTTTTTGATCTACCTGGTAAATCCTATTATGCCATTACTTGTTGAAAATCAAATGGGTAGAAGTTGATGCTCAATTTGATAAAAATGGCATAAACTCCTAGAGATATTAAAACTAAAATGAACCATAAGTCAGATGCAAACCAAGAGAAAGGTAATAAACATAAAAAGCAATTCTTAATAATACTTACCCACTTGGATCAACAATCTCCCTGGATATCTTCATTCTCTTGCTAGCTCCCTTATAAAGCTCTTCAAGACTACATCGCAGCTTATTCTCAACTGGAGCAGCCTTTCTAGGAGCACCTTGATGCATTGATCCTCCGCCTTCACCATAGGACTTGAAGATATCTTCACCAAACATCCCACCAGGAAACCTTGCCCCTCTCATGCCTCCAACACCACCACCACCACCACCACCTCCTCCCATCCCTCCAAACGGATGAGAAAACCCAAAAAATTCAGCAAAAATATCATCAGCATTTCGAGGATTGAAATGAAATGATGTGGGTCCATCTCCAGTAGAAAAGAATGAAGCTCCAGGACCAGCACCACCAGCACCAGGTGGTGGTACTTGACCCTTTAAACCCTCTTCACCATATTGGTCATACACTGCTCTTTTCTGTGGATCGCTAAGAACCTGCATAAAAAAACATTGACTCGGTACAAAATCAATCAAAGAATAAATATTTACTATTGATTTTAATTTTGAGCAGTCTAGAACTGCATTACAGAGAATTCCTTGTGCCCATTAAAGACTGAAACTTTGGACATCTAACCAACAAGAAACAGTTAATTCCTCATGATAACACTAATAAACACAACAAAACTAAAAATTCTAAAACTTTACGCAAGAAATTCAAAAAAGATCGCAACTTCTTTTTTATCTAAGGATGAACAAAAAAACCCATCAGTCTACAAATTTCGGTGAATTGAGAATCTTCAGCATTGCTTCTAACTGGATGGTCTACAGATCCAACACACAGAACACAGAACCCACAAGGTTTAATGATTATTCAAGCCATGACAGATTGAAACTTTGAACCACAAGGTTTAATGATCATTCAAGCCATGACAGATTGAAACTTTGAACATTAAAAAGAAAACAATAAAAGGATCACAAATTTCAGTAGATTATCAAATTTAACAAAAACCCAGATCACAAAATCTACAATGCAATACATACACACATCTACGCAAGAAATAAAACAATCAAAAACCACAAATTTCAGCGAGATTTCCAATTTCACAACGAACCCAGATCACAAAATATAATATTGAAGCAATTGGAGTCAAATTTTAAGTACATACATCATAGGCTTCAGAGATTTGCTTGAACTTAGCCTCAGCTTCTTTTTTGTTATTAGGGTTCTTATCAGGATGCCACTTCATGGCTAATTTCCTATAAGATTTCTTCAAATCATCATCTTTTGCAGTCTTATCAACTTGCAATATCTTGTAGTAATCCACTCCCATGGTGTTGCTATTACCTCCTCCTCCTCCTCCTCCTCTCTTTCTCTTCTTCACTTTGCTTATCTTTGTTTTTTCTAGTTTGGGGTGCTTAGCTGCTTGCTTTTGTTCTCTTTATATATGTACATAGTGATGTGATGATGATGGAGTAATCTTTGGGGCTTGTTTGTGCCTTGTAGTTTTGGGGTTCAGTTAATGTTATATTTCTTACAATATATTCTTTAGTCCCTCTCATCTCTAATCTTGCCAAGCTCATCCTTTTACCAAAAATCGACAGTGGGATCATATCTGTAGTGCATTTGGAGAATAAAAAAGTTAAGGCACTATATCAACAAATGTTAAATAATAAAGGATGAAATATACAATTAACCCCATTTCTCTTTGTTAAGTAGTACGGAAGTGCTAGAACATGGAAACACCAAACCTACATCTTGAACCCTAAATTTATAAGTTTTCGAATGAGTCCTTAAGCAGACCACAAATTTGCCCCTCCTTCAAAGTTCAAAGAAATGCATATAATCATCAATACAGTTTGGTTATTTAATTTTTAAAATGTGCACAGTCGCATTCTTATTTTTTTAAGCCGATGAAACATTTGTGATATTAATGGTGAATTTATGCAATAAAATGGAAATGAACTCAAGCTAGCCCTTCAGTTGTCATTACACAAAAGCTAGAGGGGATGTCATGATCATTAACTCCATAAAGTCTCGGTTAAGAACGACGATGATCCGCGTTTCACACGGCGCACGATTTGAACAGTTGGATTTTAGATGAAAAAGAAAGTTGATGTATAATAAAGGTATTTAAAATAGTATTTAGTTACTTCCTTGAAATTAAAATACAAAGAGAGATAATAAGGATAAAGGAAATATACGTGTTTTGAAAACAATTTTTTTTTTTAAACTAACTAAAAAACAAATCTATTCTATATTTCTATCTCTTTCATTAAATATGTTTTTTCATCTTTAATTTATTATTATTTTTTTGTCTTGAATAATTTAAGAGATAAATTTTCGCTGAGAAGACTGTCTTTATTTAGATGTGTCGCTAATGATTTTTTCAAAGCAGAAACAGTTCCCGTGATTCCATGGTTACATCAAACAACAGCTTTTGTAGCTCCAAGGGTCATGAAGTAGGGTGGAATCAGGGCAGATATGAAAAGCAAAATGGGGACATAATCTCATCTTGTGATTTCTGTGACCGGAGAAGTAACCATTTGAAAGATCTTTAGAGGAATCAGTAACTGTGCTTTATAGTTTAATTCACTCATGAGGTTTGTAATGGAAATTTGGAAATCCTGAAAGTGATTAATGTTTCCCGTATAGTTATTAAATCCCACCTGGTCTGAAGGGTTGATACGAAATCTAACCCAAACCGAGTTTTATTTCAAATTATTTTGACATTGATTTGATTATATTTCTAGTACATTTGCACGTTGACCTGTAATTTAATTGACCTGATTTGTTTAGAATAAATGAGAAATCCAAGTTGATTCAATAATTCAATAATTTAAATTCTGAACAAGGCTAGACTCTAGATCAGGTTTAATAACTATCATTTAGAAGTGAGAAATTGTTTTCCCCTCCAAGCTAAATCCTTTTGCTAGGAAGGATTCAAGAGCAAACAAGGGAAATCAAATTGCATTGAAACCACAATTAAGAAGTTGGCAAAACCATGCACTAATCATATCTTAGAAAGATGTCACAACTGTACTTATCAAACACTAATACCATAGAGTCATGTATCACAGATTGTAGCAAGAGGGCACCAGTCCTTCTCAAAGGAGATGAAGATCTCAAGGACCAACGAGTCTCTTGATTGATTCCTTCTGCTCTGCAGTAACCCTGAATGGAAACCTGATGTCAAACTTGATTCTCAAATTTCCTCTCTTTGTTGGATCACTTGGGATCGGCATCCCTTCGCTCAGTAGAACCTTCTGATGGTTGGAATGGATCACATCATTTTCTGAAACTGTTTAAATTCTCAATGATAATATTTCTTTGAATTTGTTAAATATTAATGATAATATCAATGTCATCGGTGGGATTCAGATCCTCCCAAAGCAAGGTTGGTGTGTGGGTTTGGTTTACATGAAATTTAAGTACTGGTTGAGATTATGATAATAATTGTTTTATTTTTTGTAAGATGATTTGCTTAGTCCAAGTGATTCCACGAGCACCTGCATTTTTTTAATGGTGATTGATGTTAGGATTACACATGCTAGTCTTATCTCTCTCAGTGTGTTGACAGGAGAGGCAGTTATGAGCACCAAACTCTAGCTCCAAACCTCAGAGCTCTGCTTGAACTTGAGAGAAAACTAATCGAGACAGATCTTGCTATCTATAACTAGGAATACCTGACAATGTCATGCTCAAATAATCGTAGGAGCTTTTCCGTGTACCTCAAGCCTTCACCTCTAGGATTGCTATCCAATAACCATGTCTTGTTCTTGTAGTTATCCACTTGCATTACCATCTTCGCATACAGTTTGGTTGTATTCAGTGTTCAGAACTAGAAAAAAAAACAAGGATTCACCATCAATCGACTGGAGCCAGTTTTTATTGCAACTGTAATAGAGAAGCTTATTATCTTAAAATTTCGCACATCAATGCCTTAGAAAGATGGCATACTTGCTACAAAAACTCTCAAAAGTGATTACATATATAACAAGTTGTGGATTCAGAAGAAACAATACAACTACTACAATCTTTCTAATTTGTATTCACAAAACTTCTCCATTTCTGTGGAGGTGTAGTGTATTAAATGCTGGCATTGATGATCTCAAGGACCCAAGAGTCTTTTGATTCCTGCCTTCTGCTCTGCAGTTAACCTTGATGGAAACTTGATGTTGAACTTGATCCTCAGATTTCCTCTCTTTGTTGGGTCCTTTTGGATTGGCATCCCTTCCCTTGGGACAACCTCCTCATAGTTTGGATGAATCAGAGTGTTGACTGGAATGGTCAAGTTCCTTCCATCTAAGGCTGTGAGATGGACAGTGTAACCTGTCAAGGCTTCAGCTAAAGAAATCTTCTGTATGACAACCAAGTCGTTCCCATCACGAGCGAATACAGGGTGGGATTTTTCATCAATAATGAAGACTAGATCAGCTGGAACAATATTTGGCTGTTCATTCCCTTTCTCAGGGAAGGTAATCTTCGTGCCTTTCTTCCAACCAGGTTTTATGTCAATGGTTAGAATCTCCTCAACTTGCATGGTCCTGCTGCGAAGGATGGAAGTAAAAGTCAGTGAAATTGTCTTAACAACTAATGCTAAGCGCCAAAAAATTCATCCAAAAAGCTTTGAAGGATTTTACTAGATTGTAAAATGATCTGGCAAGCAACACCATGTACAAGCATAAGCAGCATGTGAAATCGCAAGAAATAAAAGCATTTATTGTTAGATCTGGCTCTATTAGGTAATGGTCAGTTGAAAATCAAACAGGAAGAAGTTGATGTCAGATAAATTCAGAGAGAAGTTATACAAGAGCTATCCTTCAGAAGCATACAATCAGAACAGTAGTTACTTAACATACTAAAACAAAGTTCTCAATACTTACCCACTTGCATCAGCGATATCTCTAGAAATCTTCATTCTTTTGGTAGCCCCTTTATAAAGCTCTTCAAGACTACAAGGCAGCTTCTTCTCAATTGGAGGAGCTTTTCTAGAACCCTGATGCATCGACCCTCCGCCCCCTTCACTGTAAGAACTAAAGATATCATCGCCGAATATCCCACCTTGGAACCTTGTCCGTCTCATGCCTCCACCACCACCTCCCATCCCTCCAAATGGACTCCCTCCAAATGGACTTGAAAACCCGAAAAATTCAGTAAAAATGTCATCAGCATTCCGAGGATTGAACTGAAATGTCGTTGGCCCATCTCCCGTGGAGAAGAATGAAGCTCCACCTGGACCAGCACCACCAGCACCAGGCGGTGGTACTTGCCCCTTTAGACCCTCTTCACCATATTGGTCATATACTGCTTTTTTCTGTGGATCACTGAGAACCTGCATCCAAAACATAGAATTTCAACACAAAACCCATCAAAGGACTATCAAATCCAGTTCTACAGAAAATTCCTTATGCCATTAAAGACTGAAACATAGAGTTAACGCAACAAAGTTTCTATGTTGATAAACAAAATTAAAAAGTCATTTGACTCATTAAGAGCCAGAGAATTCCTCATGAAAACAGTAACAAACACAATAAACTACAAATCCCAACAAAAAAGAACCCCTTTCCATCTAACATGAACAAAATCAATCAAATTCACATATCTTCAGATAGGAAACAGAGGATTCCTCATCATAACAGTAATTAACAAAATAAACTACAAATCCCGGTAATTTAGCCATTAAATCCCAATAAAGATAGAAACTTTATTTCATCTAACATGAACAGAAGCCATCAAATTCATATATTTTCAGATAACAAACAGATAATTCCTCATCATAGCAGTAAAAAAAAGAAAAAAATACAACAACAACAAACAACAAGTCCCAGAATTTTAACCACAAAATCCCCCAAAAAAAGATTTCTTTTTCTCTAAACACGAACAAAAACCACAAATTTCATTAAGATTATCCAATCTTACAGCAAACCCAGATCACAAAATTTAATCTTGAAGTGTTAAATGGCAGGTACATACCTCATAAGCTTCAGAAATTTTCTTGAACTTGGCTTCAGCTTCTTTCTTGTTATTTGGGTTTTTATCAGGATGCCATTTCATTGCTAATTTCCTATAAGCCTTCTTCAAATCATCATCTTTTGCAGTCTTATCAACTTGTAATATCTTGTAGTAATCCACCCCCATGGTGTTGCGGCTACCTCCTCCTCCTCTTTCCCCCTCTTTCTTTTCTTCTCTTTGCTCACCTTTTTTTTTCTTCTTGAAAAAAAATAGTAGAAAAGGTTGCTTGCTTTGGTTTTTTGGTTAGGTGATGATGGAAGTTTCATGTTTGTGGAGTTTTTGTCTTTGATGATTCGAGAAACATGTAGAAGGTTCCAGAAATGACTCCACTGTCTTTTTAACTTCTTCTAGTTTACTTGCAAATTACTGTAATCACTGTAAAGTGTGAACAAAGAGGTGTTGAATTTGATGTGTCCTAAAATTGCCAAGTCTATCCAACCATTAGAGCATCTACAAGTCCTTTCCCCCTTTCTTTCGCCAAGTGGGTTGTGGGCTCATCTTTTGGCAGCAGATTAGGAGCTAAACTGTGTAAGCACAAGTGGGTTCTGTAATTTATTTCCATTAAAGCATAGTTATAAAATCGAAATTGACATCGTTGCTCGACTCGGACACAGCTAATTTAAGATTAGGACTAGTCTGAGTTGAAAAAAAAAATGATATATTGATTCAATTGGACGGATCAAAACTTTGCTCTTATTCAATTGATTTTTTCTCAAAAACAACTTATTTTAATAAAAAACAATGTTATTTTAATTCTTTTTTTAAATTATAAGATCAACTTGTGAGATCAACCTTTTGATCCGAATATTTTCCAGAATGTGAAATAAAGAATGAAATAGAGTTTGAAGGGACAGCGTATTATTTAAAGATTGTCATTTACTTTTTCTTACAGGACTTCCAATCTGGGCACTGGTAACCTAGTTGATCTAATTGGCATAACCTTTAGACTATGGCCCATGGTTATCTGTGTGTGTATATATATATGTATAGTCATGCTGGGATTTAGCTTCCAAATATCAAGATTGAGTATTTCTTTTTCCTAGCAATCTTCTTTTTATATTCAAATCCAAAATGATAACACAAGGAACACTTACCAGTTGAGTTAACTTAGTTGTTGGGCTTAATCTAATTGACTGATTTCATTTATAAAAATGTGTGAAAATGTAAGAAAGCAAGGTTGCCTGCAAACTCTGGTTAATTTTGAAAGGAAGAAAACTGATAGAGGGTGTTCAACATCATAAGGAGAACATGCACATTGGAAAAGTTGACGTGATTTTAAATTCATCTTAATTCAGATAAGGGTTATCTTTAAGGAATTAAGAAGAAGAAACATTGATCTTCTGTCAATGTTTCAGATTAGATGCCATAACCATTTTGAATTCGATATTGATTGAGGAGCATTGAAGGGTTATGTTAGTTCAGAGTTACGTTCTAAGGAAACTCATATTCCATCAGTTCAAAGTTCCTTCGTCATAATCCAGCAAAATTCGGGTAGGGGAGAGATGCATGGAAGCTGAGAATACTGAATTCATTAAGCCAGTCCCAAATTGTTGCCTGTTCATAGCTTAGTTAATAAATTAAATGGATTAACCTGAATTAATTCAAAACAATATTCTTTCAAGATTTTTTTAAATTAAAATAATATTATTTTAAAAAATAATTTTTTTCTCAAAAAATCAAATCAATTTTGATTAGGTTAACCTTGACACAAGTAACTTTTACCTAATTTTTTAAAATACAATCTAAGTGGGTTAGGATATGTTTAAGAATATTGTGTAATTATGTGTGATAATTTTTGCATATACAATCCATTTAATCCACAAAACACCACTATAAGAAATAAGTTTTACATGTTTTTTTTTTAATTTTTCATGTCTCTCATAAAAAAAATATATTAAATTATACCATATTCTCAAACACACAATAATTAGTTCTAAATATTACATTAAAACTCATTACTTTATTAAAAAAGAAATAATATTACATTCCAATATCTTATCCCTTCCTTTCTCGTTTTATTGTCTAGCAATGTAGTTAGGATTTTTTTTTCTCATAAATAATGCCAAGAAGACATTGAGATGTTATTTTTCAAAAAATTTCTCACAACACTAGAGGATTACAAAGTTTGGGCATCTCTTGTTACAAGTATCATTGTTTTCAAGGCCATAAAAAAATTACCAAAAAAATCCAATCGCAGAAGATTATTGAGGGAACGTGCAATCAACAAACAAGCTGAGATCATAGAGATCATCGGCAGTATCAACAAGGGATCTCATCAATGAACCATCTAAGTATTCTAACAGGAAGCTGCACAACATCCATGGCCAAATTGGCTAGGGCAGCACAACACACACAACATGGGCACAAGCAGCTCAATGTAGTCCTGCGTTCCATCACAAAACAATTTTTTAAAAAAAGAAAAACGTAATTTAGTCAATCAACTAAAGAATTATTTATTAGAAAATAGAATTATAGAAGAAAAAACTACATAGATTATCAAGATATGTAATATTATGATATGGGTTAATCAATCATTAAGTCAAACCACCCTATTTTTTTTAATTATCACATTATATTATATGAAATCAATATATGCTCACACACTCTCCCCAAGAATTCTTCAAATTCTTATGTTCACACACAGACACCCTCCCCAAGAATTCTTCAAATTCTTATGTTTTAGCAAGAGAATTAAGAAAAGCAAAAAGAAATAAATGGCCTCACCCAATGAGCCATATTACTGCACCAACAAGGGCCAAGATCAATGCAAGCAAGGAAAAAGGAAGTCCTAACAAAAACCCTAATGGCCTGCAATCTCCCATTATCTTTCTCTCTGAATTCTTGCTTCTTGTTCTTGAATTTTAATCCAAGAAGGACATGAAGTGGTTCAAGGTGATGTGTTTGTGCTATAAAGAGATTCCTTAATTGAGAAGGGAACAAGAATATAACTACCTTCATATGTGGTTTTTGTTTATTGACTAAATTACCCTTGTGGATTTTGGGATTTTTGATTGGTTATGTTAGGATTTGTTTTTTATTTTGCAATGTGAAAGGTATTTTGGACATTGTGTTTATGGGATCTTCATTGTTATTTCTTTTCAGTTACAACTCACTTTGCAATTAGAAGAGTCAAGACTTGCCTATTATTTTTAAGAAAAAAAAATATTTTTCTGCTTTTTTGTTTTAGCAATCCATGAAAATGCATACTCTTTCATATAAAATATTTGGTATAAAGGAAAAAACTTATCTTTAATGTTGAAGAGTTTTATGTAAATATATTTAAGTTTTAGAAGGTATTTGTTGTGTTTGATTTTTTAAAAAAAAAACTTGGTCAAATGTTGCAGGTCAATTCATTTATTAAAAGATATTTTTAATTCTAAAATTTTATAAATAATAATATCTTTCAATAATTTTAACTATTATTTTTTTTTTACAATCACCACTTCATATCACCATTATTATTGATGTTGTTATTGTTATTATCACAACCACCAACAATCACCACTTCGTATCATCATCATTATTATTATTTATGTTGTTATTGTTATTATCACAACCACCACTCTACAACCAATATTTAATTATTATTATTGTTTTTGTTTTTAGCCCCACCTTTATCATAATATTATTATCATAATTACTAATACTAGTTCATCATAATCATAATCAATTTATTAATATTATGTTTTTCACATCATTGTTTATTAAATATTGTAATTTTTTTCTATGTAAAAAACTATTTCACACAGTGTTTTCCATCCTTGAAATATTCTATGCAAAATTTTTTTTTGTAACTTTAATTCTTTTATTTTTATGTAACTAAAGAGGATTATTTCTATTAAAGATACAATGCACCTCAATGTGAAAAAAAAACCAACCTTCCTAAGAAAAAATGAAAATAAAACTTAAAGGCTTATATTGGGCTTAAGCTGTAGTGGACTGTGTAAGGCCCAAGCTTGGATTCTAAGTGAATCTGTTCATAGGCAATTTGCGACATTGAACAAACTAAAATAAAAAAAATATGGGCCTTACTCTGGGCTTAATATAAGGCTAATAAAGCCCAAAGGTGAGTGATATTCAGAGTACGCTTTTTCCATATAAGATCCAGCCTAGAAAAAAAATAAAATAAGTAAGAGTTGATTGAACAAACCTCAAAAAATCAATTAAAATCCAGTTTAACCTTTTATTTTAAAAAATAATATTATTTAACTTAAAATAATATAACCCCGTAGAGTTTATATATTTTTTTTTAGAAATTATCCGTTTAAATTTCATAAATTTTAAAATTATTAAAAATTTATATCATTATTAATTTTAAAATTCATAAAATAAATCAAAATGTCTCTAAGCTGTTATAGGTACTTATATTAATAATAATTAAAAAAAAAGCGAAAAAAGAAGCAAGGCACCAAATCTGTATAGGAATTTGTTTTTTTTTTCATTCGATATGGGTGTGGGGAATGGCAAATTGTGTCTTTCAAGGTGCATGTTTAGCTGCTGTCATTCAATCTCAGGATTCGAGAAACTGGTAATTTTTTCAACAAGTGGTGTAGCATTGAACATCTATTGTCTAGGCCTTAACCTTATTTGGACTGGCCAATTCCAAAGTACAAGGTCTCTCTTTATCGAGTAAGAAACTAGAACGTGCTGGCTTTTAACTGTAGCTGGTATTGTTTCTGATCTAATGTGACATTGGAATTGGAAGATGCATAAGAAAAAAAAAAGATATTAAATATGGATGGCTAGCTATAGATTTAAGAAAAAATACACTTAAATGCTTAAAATTTTAAAATAATATAATTTATACAATTTAGATCCCTTTATTTTTTTTAAAAAAATTAATTATAATATAAAAATTTATAAAAAAAAAAAATTAATTATAATATAAAAATTTATTTATATTATTTTTCAAATCCTAAATAAATAGAAGAGAATGATGGGTTATTAGATTCCAATGATAAAAGAAAAGTTACCGTTCTTGTCATTTTCAACCATTAAAATAAATTTTTTTTGTGTCAACAAGTTACATGAAATAAAAGAAGCTTAATAGTGATTGCTTGATATTTTAATATTACCTGAAAAAATAGATCTAAATTGAAAAAAATAAGTTTAAATCAATTTGATTTTAGATTTTGGATTATTTTCTAGGTATTTTGAGTTGATAGATTTATTTATAGATATTTCAAGAGTAATGTAAGGTATTTTTGGATTGATATAACTTAAATTCTTTAATCCAATAAAAATGTTGCCTCAACTTTCTGGTTAACATAATGATAGCTGAAATTTGAGTTTACAAGTGATATATTACTTTATCATCTATTTTTTTAAAATATTAAAAAAAATTAAACCTAGACATGCAGTTTTGAGCTTTTTCTTGGCCCTCTTTTATATATATATATATATAAGAGAATTGTTAGCTTTTAACTGTAGCTAGAATTGTTTATGAAATTATATAATAGTGTGAACTAACTGTGTGTTTTTTAGTAATTTATTTTGGTATTTAAAGTTTAATTTTAAAAAATTTAATCTTAATTAAAAACCAATTATATATATATAATGATAATATGATTGTCTTTTTTTTTTAGTAATATTCTAGTTAGATCTTGAATATTTTTTATATGAAGCCGTCAAACAATTAGAAAATAGCAAGGAAAAGATGGTTGGGCTAAGACATTAGTAATTAGTGTTGTTTGTATAAGTTTTCCTCGTCCATTGTATTTTGATATGATCAATAATGGGCCTAGTGTGATCATATTTTCCATGCTTCATTAATTTAAACTTAATCTAGATTAAATTTCTCAAAATATTCATTCCCAAATTTATAGAAAAAGGGGCAGAGGATAGAATTAATATTCGAATATTCATCTATATGGATGAATTTATGAATATAAAATGAGTTTACACAAATATTTTAATATGTGGGCATCCATGGCTACACGTTCTTGTTGCAAGCGTGCATCGGCAACTTGCCCTTGTATTTTTCCTCTGGTTACAGGCTATGCATGGAAGGAAAAGACCACGGGACATGCAAAAATAGTTAGAATATTTATATTTTTGTGCATGATTGAAGATGCAAACCATTTCTTCCTCGAGCTCTCACTTCATACGGGACAGCGTTAAGTAATCGATCGACTCCTTTCACGAGTACATCCCAAAAAACAAACCCGACTTTGCTCGAAATTATTGAAATAAAGTATAAAATTGTGGTTATTTTGTATCAATAATATATTTTCAGTAGAATTTAATTTTAAAATTTTAATTTTAAATTAAAAATTATTTTAATTAAATTATAATTTTTGAGTAATAATTAAAGTATATAAATGCAGGATTATTAATTATTACATGTTTTTAAAAATATATGTATTCTTGATTTGTCGATAAGTGATCTAATTTGAAATTTACGTTATTGAGTTTATGTTAAATGTTTTTTAATGTTCATTTCTTTATTTCTTCATATTTTGATAAAAAAAATTGAGTTTTATTTTTAGTTTGATTTTGTTTAGGGTTTTATTTTGTGTTTTAGATTTAATTAATAGACTTTAGTAAATTTTAAATAAACTCTATAAGGTTAAAATTGTGTCAAAGGTTAAGATTCTATTTTGATGACAATGTTTTTACTAAAGTTTTTCTTTGAATTTAAAGTGCATTTGATAAACATTTTGTAAATCTATCTTAACAGTTTTAGATTAAAAAAAATAGTTTTTACCAAATATAACCTAAAATTTGTTTTATGGTTGTTGCATGTAACGTAATCCTTAAAAAGAAAATACATTTTATTTATAAAAAAGGAGAAAAATTGCATTGACGGATGGCATGAGTTAAGGTTTTGTTGTCTGCAACAGTAGTTCTAAATTTGCTGTGGATGATTCATGATTCATTATTATTATTATTGTTATATATGTAGATGATTTGCTGTAGATAATTAATGCATCCTCTGACATGCATTAGCTAGATTCAGTTAATTAGTAGAGCTCAATTAATGGATAGAAAAGGACCACTGATGATTGATAATTCACCAATAGATGATTTATGTGCGTAGATAATGACACTGTATGTGCAAAAAATACAAATTTGATTCATGTTTTTAGATCATAATTAGAAAATAATGATGACAAGACGATAATACTAAGAAAAAAATGGCTGGGTTAATGTCCATTCCCAAATTCATCTATTCGATTCCTCTATGTAGATGAATTCATGAATATGAAACGAGTTTACACAAATATTTTAATATGTGGGCATCCATGGCTACACGTTCTTGTTGCAAGCGTGCATCTGCAACTTGACCCTTGTATTTTTCCTCTGGTTACAGGCGATGCATGGAAGGAAAAGACCACAGGGCATGCAAAAATACTTAGAATATTTATATTTATGTGCATGATTGAAAATGCAAACCATTTCTTCCACGACCTCTCACTTCATAAGGGACAGCGTTAAGTAATCGATCGACTCCTTCCACAAGTACACCCCCCAAGAAAAATACCCCACATTAGACTTTGCTCGAAATTATTGAAATAAAGTACAGATCTTATCAATTTGATGCTCAATTGTTTTTATAGTACAGACAAAATTGACACCACATAGTAAAAAGATTAAGTTTTTGTTTTTTTGGCTGAACAAAAAAAAATGAAAAAAAAAAGAAATAGGAAAAGAAATTCAAAATATAAAAGGATATACATTATAAAAGCTAGAAGATTGTCACAATTAGTGGTGAACGCTAAAAGTGACAAGTGAAAATGTTAGAGGATCAAAACGTATAAAATTAGCAATCTAATTCTGAATAAAAAAAAAGCTATATTAATGAAAATATTTTTATTTTGGGTAAACAAATACAAATGTGAATGGGTAATGGCTCAATGAGAATTTTTGAAAGACTTAATTGTAAGGAAAA